TAAGTCTTCTGCTTTAACATAGTCCCCCGGGAGTCATGACGCCCGTTGCCAGGCTTTTCTGCCGCCCTTTCAAGATCTCTGTAAATCCAGCCGTGACGGCTTTCATGATGTCATCCACGTCTACAAAACAGGTCCGCTTGGGAACAAGGGAGAAAAGAAATCCACGTAGCCCGTTCAGGTGAGCACAGATGCTTCAGCACAGCAATGTTCACCTCAGCCAGGGATTGTCGGTTGCTTAAGGCCTTGTGAGGAGGCGCGTTGTCAAGGTGAGGCAGTTGCGAGTGGTCCCGTCCACTCTCAACTCTTCTTGTGGATCGAACAAAGCAAAGGCCGCAGGCGCTCTTGGTAGACTTGTCGGTTGATCACCTTGCCAACCTTGAAGAGGAAAACTCCTGGTCTCCGGCTAGGGGTTTCAAACTTTTCCCGACACACCTCATATGTTTATTTCTTCACTGTCTGGACAACCTCTCGCTTCCAAATATTCAATTTATAGATAATGACATTTTGCAAGTATCCTGAGGTGTCTGCCGGAGACAGGACTGACCTTTCAAATGAATACATCTTTTTCACTTGATAGATTCATTTGTCCTGCAATGGAAGCACTCGCGCTGGCATTTTGACAGGCTGAGAGCGGTTCATCGGGTCGAGCTCATCATTCTTTGCGGGATATCGCCGAGGTGCACTGTGCACTTAATGCAAGCCAAACAGCCCGATCAAAGACTGCTTCTTCGCTTCTGCCCAACAGTAATCAGTAAATCCACAAAGCTTGCGTGCTGTCCGTTATAGTTCTGAAGATGATCTGTCTCGCCTGATGGATGCAGACCCACCCTCGGACCTCATATATGAACTTTTACATGCAGGTAACAATAGCATTGGACGACTGTTTAGGTATTTTCAATATTGTAAAACTACATCACGTCGGAGAATATATTTCCCATCTGACTTACGTACTTAAACACTCTCAATATGACAAAGTCCAGTTGTCTGTAATATAAAGGTTCAAAAGAGTTGATCTATAATGCGGGTGTACGTACTAAAAGTGTGAGGCAAACTTCAAGTGGGCGCAACAACGGCTTTAGCCATTTCTCTCTCTCTCTCTCTCTCTCTCTCTCTCTCTCTCTCTCTCTCTCTCTCTCATCAACTGTTTGGAGAATGCTACGCACACACAGCAAGAGTGATGTTTGCCAAGTGGTTAATAATTTACCAGTGAGAGTCAAACAAAATCAGGCCCCTGCTCTTTAATGTCATTGTATGTGTGGTGGAGGAATGAGGAGGTGGATCTGACCTATTATCCAACACACATACACACACCAGGTTATGTGATTTGGGTCTGATACATGATCTTCTTTGTAACGTTTTAATGCATCTAACATGACGTGGGAATTACTCCGTGACGGATCGTCTCCCTCGCTTCACTTCGCGTCCACTTCAACGCGCTGCAGAATAGAAGCTGAATGCTGCAAGTTCAGCTGTGATGGGAATGCCATGGCAGAAAGATGAGCAATTCACTTATCGGCTGACTCTGAGCAATTATGATTGATTATAGCTCCCGCCAGCCATTCACGCGGCCGACTCCTCTGTGCACAAAATTGGTTCTTGGCTGTGGGCGGACACCCGTGTCACGCAGGAAGACTTTCAAGCTGTCCCTTTCCGTGCTATGTCAGGTGATTCTACTTGAGTTTTATTCTCATTTCAAAGTGACTGGCATAACACAGCTGTTGGCGAAGTCTTGACTGGAATTGAAAAGAGCGATTGACTCTCATTTGACTACAGGCAACGGATGACTTCTTTACTTGTCGAAATTTCTGCCCCTGTAAAGCCGTGGATGAAAATTTTGGTCAGAAAAAGTCATCAAACACACTCAGTTTGGCAGTTGATATCTGATTCGTTCCGTGCTGCAGTGAGTTTCTCATAGCGGATCACGGAAATGGAAACGAAGCCAGCTCTTGAAGACATCATGCGCAACACAAAAGACAGTGCAGATGTCTGTTTCAAGTTCCTTTGCTTTGTCCCGGTCCCCTGCTCTAGGTTTGCACTATTTAATCAAAACGCAAAAACGCGCTTTCAACCGCTTTGCCGAATGCCAAAAGTTGATTGACAGCAACTCACATCATCTACTGTTTTGACCCTGTCGTGGGGGAAATGTACAGTATTTTTGGCGTGTGTGTGTGTGTGTGTGTGTGTGTGTGTGTGTGCTGCATGCCTTCTGCAGAGATTGCATGCGATTGCATCATTGCTTATTTTTCTCGGTTGGTACATAAATAAACCCTCCAATCTGAGGATTATTATGTTCAGTCTGTTTGAGAAAAGGAATCGATTTGGGTCATACTATCTCCATTCTATGCTTTTTAGGTAATTTCATCAAAGCGGCTGTCTGTTCAAATGTTTTACTTTTGCGGAACATAATTTCCAATGATATAATAACATTCAAACCAGTGAATACAATGACAGCATGGACAATATTGTTGGGGATGGAACGCGGTCTCTGCCTTGGCGCTTCACATCCCTGCCTCGTTTTGTCCAATTGAGCTCATTAGCTCTGTTATGGCATCATTTCTATTCCCCCCACAAGCGCAAGTTTAACAAACAAACTGTCGGCCGCACTGAGTCAGACTGAGAAGTGAGAGAGTTCGCCAACAGTGCCAAACGACCTAATTCCCAATTTCGCTGCTGAGTTCACATGCAGAGATCATCGCTTCCCGGGCAACAAGTGGCTATTCTGAATCATTTTTGTCCAGAGTGGTGCTTATATCCCGACCTCAATTGCCATCATCCAACATCCCGAGGCTTGAATTATAGATCATTATTTGGAAATAAAAAGTGGTTTAAAATATTTTTAGTGTCTCTGCTATGATGTCAATTTTGTAAATCATTTCTACTCATCTAGATTACCGCAGATGATCATTTTACTTTATTTTGGATTACAAACTGTTTTTAATTTTCAGATGAGCTGGATGTAAACAAACGACTATGTTTGAGCACACCAAGCAAGTCCGTCTAATTGACTCCACTGTTTCTTCAAAATACGTCGACCTGCGTCCTGTGATTGACTGGTGACTCATCCCGGGTGTAGCACGCCTCTCACCTAAAATCTTGACAAAACATGAAGGATTATTCTATGCTTGCAATATTTTGGGGAGAAAATACTTTTCTGGTGCAGCATGACTGCACCCCAAAATCCATAAAGGCATTTTTGGAGGAGTTTGATGCGAAGGAATGTGAAGGGCCTGACCCCCATCAAACACCTTTGGCATAAAATACAGGAAAAGCCTTCTCATCCAACTTCTCTCACCTCGCAGTGGATAACAATTCTCACAGGCTCACTCCAAAATATTTTGGAAAGTCTTTGCTGAAAAGTGGAAGCTGTTGTAACTATAAAACAAGGCGTTGTTGGGTTGGTGTGATCAGACAAATTAGGCAAATGAAAACACCGTTTTCCGGGCAGAGCGGTGTCCGTTGGCAGCGATGCTGGTCATCAAGTTATTTTTACGCCTAAATGGCTCATTTCTTGAAACAAACGCCACCGCGGTCACGTGGCAGGGATACTGGCGTCATGGCTCCGATTAATTGAGCAGCGGTCCGTCTTGTGCAAAAAAGGTCTTGGAAAGAATTGCGCTCACTCGAGTGATGAGCGTCTGCTGGAGCCATCCGGCCAGATGTGTTGACTTCCTGAATCATTTACGGTACTTCTGAGAGACTATTTGGATCATCTCTTGTTGTGTTCCGTTTGATGATGGGATGCATGCACAGTAATAGGGCAATGGAATATTAATACTACATTATTCACGTGGTCCTTATGGTTTCTGTTTAAAACAAAGCTTCAGCGCAATCCGAGTGAAATTACATGCAGTTACTCCCCTCCACTCAAGCTAAGGCAAGCACAGAAAATAGATATTGCTTATATTACAAATGTATTTTGGATGGAGTGTTGAGAACACAGCCTGATAATATTCCTGCCAAAACCGGAAGAAGTATTAGGAACTAAAATTTGATTTGAGTTTAACGTGATCTTGACAAAAGCACACCATTTGAAAGAGGTGTTTATTAGCGGCTCCAAGAAGGATCATTAGCGTCTCTTCCTGTTCCCATCCATTTTTTTTTTTTTTTTTTTTTTAATCCATCCCTCTGTGTGAAGAACCAAACGTGAGACAGACGGAAGACTTTGCTTTTTATGCTGATTCTGCCAGGAGATCCAGAAGGTCCGACCGGGGAGCAGATGCAGCAGTTATGAGACAGAGTCGTGTTTGGAGAGGCTTTGAGAATCTTGGCAAAGCCGCACGCTGGTGGGTGGACCAGTTGGAACGGGCCAGAACCTTTCCAAAAGAGTATTGAGGATTATTGAATGTGAGAGGAAATCATTGAGGAGGAAAGGATGGAGGACAGTTTGGGAGCAGGAAGTTTGAAAGAAAAGACAAGTCAGCTGACTAACTCATCAACGATCACTTGAAAAGAGCAAGTAAAGGAAGTTCATGTAAGACATGAACACCACTGATTGTTTATTATACTAATGAGAATCTTTTGAGTTTGCAAGCTTTCTTGAATCACAAGGGGCCACTCATTACCCTCTAGTGGCCATGACGAGGATCTAAATGAAAATGGCAAGAATGAAAACAGTTCAGAATTTACAAAAAGGGCCACGCGCTTTTGAATGGAACCACGTTGAAAATGCTTCGTTTTTGATTGCGACATAAAAATGTATACATTTGAAATCATGAATAACTCACATGTTGTATTGCGGGGCCTTAAAACTGAATTCCCGTTTTATTGTGTGCTACTGGGGGATACCCTGCTATTGTGCGGCTGTGGTTCAGTGCTGGGAAAGGAATGCAAAGTCCTCCTCTTGTCACAGTGAACGCAGCACGTTGCGCGTGACAGCGTGTGCAAGCGACCTCATACGCATCAAGTGACAGCGTTGCTGTCAGTTGTGTTTTGTTTTGTTCGTTGTTGCACACAATTTGAATGTGTGTGTGTGGAGGGGGCGCTCATATGTCTGCTGAAGCCGCGCATGCGCACCGGGTGGGAAGCGCAATTGAAAACGAGCAGCTATGCCGCGCCAGGCAGAAAATATTCCGGAGGCTTTGAACAACAGCCGAGACACCGGAGGACTGATCCGGGGACGGCTGCACCGCGAGGCGGCTGGCGGTCGTTAAGTGCTTCTCGTCCCCCCCACCTGAGGTTAAGCGAACCTCCTCCTGAGAACGCAGTGTGGGCTGTTGACTGTACTCGCTGCTTGTCCTCCACCATCCCTTCCTCGATGCATCAACAATGTTGCCGCTCGCCGTCTGAGGATTGATGACTCCCACCTCCGGTTTGTTTGTGGGGACTGCGAGTCAAACTTGAACCGAGAGACAAAGAGCGACAAGCAGCGGCGCTCACTATGGTTTTATTGACGGTGCGCAGAAGGAGATGTGTGCGTAGCTGCTGGATGGGGACGATATGCCTTCAGTTGTTGCTGTGGATTTTATGTGCCGTGAACGGAGAGGAGCAGCCGTTCAGCGTGGAGGTAAGAAACGGGACATCACTTGATGTCAAAAGAAAAATGTAGTCTTGTCAAAAAGGATCACGTCAACAGCACCGTCCTTATTCCCCCCCATGGTCCAAATCGGGAACTTTTGTCTGCTCTGACGTCTATTGAACACACGCTTCATTGTGTTTGTTTCAACAATGGGCTCGTTGTGCGAGAGCTCATCCTATTTTTGCACTTCTCAGTTGAGTAATTGGCATTTATTGTCGACCAAAAATGATCTTACCGTTACTCAGTCCTAAATTATAAGAGTTTTTTTTTTTTTTTTTTATAGAATAGCAACATGCAGTCTTTATCTACAATCCATATCCCGGCGTAATGATTATTCAAAGTAGAAATTGATATTAAACTCAACTGAACAGTGGGAATCTCAAATGACATTTAATATGATTGTCATAACAGGCTTTGAGCGGCATAGTGATGACATCAGAGCAACCTAAATGCATGCCTCGTAAGTGCTCTCATCTTTCATTGATACCTCAAGTCTGTTGCCTTCCTGTCCACTATTTCAGATATTGAGGGATGCAAAAATCCAACATTTGCAAACTGACCAGTGTTGGAGGCACACAGTTAACGAGTGATTTGTATGTCTGCCTCACAGTTGTGGGTTAAGATCGTGCATGCATTATTTTAGGTACCCCATGATCACAACACATGCGTGTTAGTTTAATTGAAGTCTCTATTGCAGTGGTTCTTAAGGTACCGAACCCAACCGGTTCATATGCACATTCACTGAACCCTTCATTCGTGAAGAAAAAAACCCAAGTTTGATTTTTTTTTTACAAATTGCTCGGTTTCCACAATATCTGAGGACCGTTCAAAAGTGGCAGTCAGAAGAAGGACACAAAAGACTTTCCAAGTTGTTCAATATACCTTAGAACACAAGTAAAGACATCATCAAGTAGCAAGTGATGGCACAACCGTGACATTCGCAAGAGCTGGCCAGTACCCCCAAATCGCTCAAAAACATCAGAAAACTGGTCCAGGAGGTGGTCAAGGGACCGAGAGCAACAATGAATGAGCTGCACGAATTTCTGAAATGACCCAGTTGCAAATACACTTGAAAAGAGTTTTGTCAGAGTATATGGCGTATATGGCGTGACTCCTCGTGACTCTCTTCAAGTCACTATTAGCTCATTCAGAAAGAATTGACTTGGTCCTGACAATTTTGGATTCTGTCCTTTGAAAAACATTTACTTGAGCAGAAATGATTTTCTTTTTTCTCCCATTCACCTCTCATCACGATATCCTCAGTCATCATTCCAGGTGTCTCTCAGCTGCTGTCTTAAAAGACGCAAAGTGTGCCGGGGTGGATAAATCACATTGCGCGTGCTAAATGAGTCTTTTTGCATTACGCCACCCAGTATTTTCTCTATTAGCGTAGAAACAGATAAAATGAATTGCGTGACGTTATTGCTCGTTTCGGCTGAGGCAAACCTGAGTGCGCCCAGTCGGTCGCTCAGCTTCCACATCTGGTTGGCCGCGTGTGCTAATTTTGGGATGTACCAGCCAAACCCGGTCATCTTCAGGAAGAGCTTTGCCCCTCACTTGTCTCACAGCAGAAGGCCCCATTGAGGGCCTGCATTGCTGCAATCAGAAAGCCTTTTACGGCCACAAAGAGGATGACTGACTGATGCTTCTGGAAAGCTGTTGGAGTGGAATTTGGCTGTTACCGTGTTCTACCTTTAGTCAAAGACACTCCTATATTGTTGTAAAATAGTCTTAGCTATTGCATTTGTTTGTTTTTGAGATGTCAGATTTAAATCTTACGTGATTCTGACATGTTTTTTTTGTCACTGCTGTGTGTCATTTGGCTTGTGTAAGAGCAGATTATGTAGCCACTGGGGTGTCTACGTCAGTCTGTTGTCCACATATGTCGCGCCTCGAGACATATACAACACCTGTGTAGATTCACAGCCTGAGTCCGACACACAGATCAACTCATTGTTGGTGTGGTGTTTCTCTTCCATCTGCGGCTAAACGGAGTACGACACTCATCCTTTTTGCAGAGGCTTTGAAAATATAGATCATATTTCAAACTTGTTTGAGTTCAAATCCTAAAGAAGACCCCAGAAGAATACGCTCCTTCCCAAAAGGCGCTAACCACTGATCAGTATGTTGGATCAGACTGTGACATTTGTGGGTGACATTTTTGTGACATTTTGTCCTAATGGGGCCACTGAGGTAAGCATGGCATGCATTACGTATTGTGTGCGCGCGCGCGCGTGTGTGTGTGTGTGTGTGTGTGTGTGTGTGTGTGTGTGTGTGTGTGTGTCCTTGTCCAGATGCGTATTGGGTCACAAGAAGGTGATTATGTACCGTTTTAAAATTTGGAGCGCCCGCAGTGCATCACATGGCAAATCTCAGCCTGTAGTTTTGTCCAACTTCCTTTTGCGCTTCAGAAGGGATTTCAGGAGCAACGGAGCAGTTAGATTCCGTGTTTACGTGTGGGTTTGCGGTCACTGGTGTGGGCAGGAAGGCTGTGGTTTCCTTGACAACCCTGGCACACTCACCAGTGGTTGTTGGTGTGATGAATAATTTAGAGTGGTCAGATCTGGCATGCTTTGCAAGTGGACCTTGGCGAAGTTCCAATGCCTCACCTGTACCAAGAGCCCACTTACCTCCTCGTATCTGTAAATATTGCAGTTTGCACTGTTGCATGGGCAGTTACCCGTTTTACCTAGCAACAGATGTTTAACCAGCTCAAAGTGGTCAGCTCATGTCCAGCCTCATCTGCATTTTACACTTGAAGGGGCCGCGGTCAATAAAGGCTTTCCCACCCGGCACAAGTGAACTCTCGGCCTGTGTGTCCATTCTTTTTCCTCTTTCAAAGTCACTTTCATCCTCCCATCTTTTCAGTGAAGTTCATCTGTCATGTCTCAAGCACAGACGCACATGTAGGCTGAAGCAAAACATGGTGTGCTGTCCCCGTGACCCGAGGGACCAGACTCATGTCAGCTAATCTGTCGGCAGTGGCAACATCAACAGTCGCCACATGCTCCGAATGTGCTGCGATGCCAGCTGGGCTCCCTGACGTACACCTCATCCATAATGGAGTAATTCCGTCGCCTTACGCGTTGGCCTTTTGATGGCACCCATGGTCGTGATTAGGCCACCTTCTGCTTGTCCGCTGCGGTCTGAGCTTGAGAGGGAGAGTTGGCCTGGGGTTCACATCAGCTCCCTCTCTTTGTCAAGCTCCTGGAAGGGGCTGGAAGGGGGAGCGATCTGAGCGGTGATCAGTACAGTACAGTACTCGACGTACCATTTCTATAAAGAGAGCTCAGATCATTGACGAAAGGAGGCTGTCGAGCTTGGGCTGATTTTCAAGGATCCTCAAATCGCCACGGAAAGTGAATCGATAAAAGACAGCAGGGGAAGTAGTTAAACAGAACAGAACAAACTAATGAAGGAAACGGATGGTGATAAAGGCGGAAAGACGCAAAGCAACCTTGGACTTGATGAAGCCAAATAGCTTTGGAATTGACGTCTGATTATTAACAAAAGTTGGGCCACTCTTAACCGACTAGCAGACAGCCAAAGCAGCCCCATAAAGTTATTCTGTGTAGGCTTTGACTTTCTCTTGACTTGCATTTTCACGTTCACCATTTGCCGATGTGCTATTAAAGCCGCATTTCCATGGGTTAACTGGACACTACCCAAACAAGCCTTTGCTGCTAGCGCAAAGTACCTTTACTACAACCAGCAGTTTACTTCAAAGAATATCAACATTAAAATACCGTATCACATTTGTTTCACCGGCATGGGATTTCATATTCTTCCATTTGCTGTTGTGCAGTAGTACACATGCTGACTTTCCTGCAGTCATTGTGGGATAGATTTCCCCTCGCCCATCTCCAATTAGGCTAAGAGTGACACGAGCACATTGAAAACCTATTGCCAAAGTTAACTGGGATAAACTCCAGCACTCATCGAAACCCTGAACAGGGTTGAAAGAGGGGTTGAAAATGTTTGAACAAATTTATTATTGAAAAAATGGCATAGGAAAAAGAGCCTTGTGTCTTTTTTTTTTTTTTTTAATGTACCATGCCTTTTTTCTGATCATCTCACTAAGGCAGTGGTCAGGGGCAAAGCCAAATGTGGCTGTGATTTCAAAGAGGAGAGCCAAGGAAGACCAGATGATTACAGGACATGAAAAGGGAGAGTATGCATTAGAAGTAAAAAATATAGCAGTAGAGACGAGAGTGATGTTACAAAATGAGATCTGAGAGCGCTGGAAACAATTTTGGATATTCTTTGAGATGCCGTCGAGCTATGTGAAAGCTCTCAGTGCTTTTGGACCACGCGAATAAATTGGAGGACAAATTGGTCTTGAAATGACCCCCTTTCTCTTTAATCCACAAATTACCAAACTCCTTTTGGAATAAAGGAGTTGTCCTCATCAAAAAGTGATACTTTTTGCCTTTTTCGTGTGACTTGTGCCGTTTAAATGAAACCGTTTTCCCTGTGTGTTGGGCATTTTCTGTCTTATGATGTGACACAAAGCGGATGTTACTGTTTATGCAGTCATGACCTCACATTTGCTCCGCTGAGTGACGGTTTGACCTTCACTGGATACTGCTTTCACACTGCCCAAGCCACGCATTCATGCCTGTTTGGGAAATGTCATCGTATGTAGTCCACTCCACATACCTGTAAACGGCCTAACGATACTCAAGTTTATGGTAGAATAATACTCACGTTTTGCTAGCGAGCTCAGCAGCATGAAGGCTAATTGGGGGAAGCTTGCTGCCAGGCAGTTTTATTAGGCTTTGGATTCCCAGTCTCACTTGGCGTGTTTATGTTTCCGTGTCGTCGTACACATTTCAAACGCGTACAATGCATTGGTTCTTTTTATTGGTAGGTTTTATTTGTGTCACAAAAATGCAGACGTCGGCTGTTCTGTTTACCGTTTTGATGATGAGGAATACAGAGCGTCTGGGACGAGCCAAATCCCAAAAGCTCTTCCGTGGGAAAGCCCGACCGACACCCCCCTCCCTCCCAAGATCTGAGCAGTGATTCCCTTTGGCAGGATTTTATAGCGACACCGCGAGCTCTATTGTGGCAATTTCTTTTCCTGACAAGCCAAACGACACGATAAAAGACTCCATTCTGCTCTCTACACCTGACATAGATTCTATTTTTTTTCCCTGCCGATTTCCCTTTTATTAGGAACATTTCCTCCAAAACTGCCAACTCGTCTGTGCTTTTCGGATCTTAATCTGTTCATTAGAAATTCTTGGGCAAATCTTCCAATCATTGTTTACAGTGAGCACAATTCTGCCATATTCACCAAAGGCAAAGACAACAACTTGATTGTTCAAGACATTCTGTTTTTTGCTTTACATGCGTGACAACAATTATTTGATCTTACTGTCCGCACAGGAGTGAATAAGACTATTACTCAATAACCAACCTGTAACAAAACAAAAAAAACCCTTCACCAGACTACGATGTGTCTCACTCTCTCTACCCTCCCTAATTTGTGTTTCTTTGTCCGTAGACATGGCTCCAAAGGTATGGCTACCTCCCTCCTGCAGACCCCAGAATGTCAGTGCTACGTTCTTCCCGAGTCATGCAGTCCGCTATCGCTGCCATGCAGCGCCGCTACGGCCTCAATGTTACAGGAGCTCTGGACAGCACCACCATAGAGTGAGTTACACATGCTTAGGAAATTGTGTGTGGGGGGTGACAAAGGGTGGAACATTTCCTGGTCAATTCCCAGAAATGTTCTGATCAATTTCCATTGGACCTTAAACTTGGGAATTTTCTGAGAGCATGACTGTACTATCATTGTACTGTATAAACTTAAAAAAAAAAATTTTTTTGGTGGTGGGCGCGTCAGGAAATTTGTCAGTAAATGGTCGGTCATTCATCACTCTCCAGCAGGTGAAGTGGCGCTTTATAAACCGGATGAACATCCGATTGACAGTAAAAGACTATGCTATACTTTTTAGTAGTTTACTAACATCTACAAACTAACCTCCTTGCAACAAAACACTGTCTGGAAAAAGATACATAAACACAATCACGTGTATCGTTAGAAATTCAAGTGAGGGTAAATCTTCTTTTGAAAGTTGTCATCGATCCCTGACACTTTGTAAGAAGACTTTTTACCTGCACGTAACTCAAACGGTATTGGCTGACATTTGTCCCCGGCGACGCTGAAATGCCATCCGTGCTACCAAACGGCAATGAGCTCAATTTGGTCACTGAACTGTAACGTGGTAATGTGTCCGCCAGCCGAGTGACTGCTATCTAAGCGATGGACTGAAACCGGGTGAGCTAACGGTGTGCCTGTTTTCTATTTCCCCATTGCTTCTCTCTGTGCAGCAGTAACACACTAAGGTGAGGTGCCCTTTGAGCGTAATATGTCTTTCGATGAGATAACGCCTACTGGGGAAATGTGTGAATTGAGAAAGGCGTGCATGTTGTGTTTTGCCCTCCGAATAAAAGCTTTTTGTGTCATTTATTCATGCATGTTGTACTTATTGTTTGTCTATGCTCCGCGTTTTTTTTTTTGGGGGGGTGGGGGGGGGATACAGCTCCGTAAAGCATCTGCCATATAATCATTGAGAATGTTGCCAGTTATAACAACACCCCTCGACTGTCTCTTGCAGGTGGATGAAGAAGCCCAGATGTGGCGTTCCTGACCAGATAGCAGGCGTCTCAAAATTCAACGTCAGGAAACGGCGGTACGCCCTCACGGGGCAAAAGTGGCAACACAAGCATATCACGTACAGGTGAGTGCCTCCGACGTCTCGCAATGCAAAAATTCCCTTCCGCATTCTTGCCCGTAGCACAAAAGAACGTTTGGAGCAGATCATGATGTGAACGTCTGCCACGGTCAAAGAAGGTGGGAAACGTGCTGGTCATCATGAATTCAGCGTTGCTTTCAGCTGAGATTGAAGTTTGTAATTTGTCAAATCGCTTCTATCTGTCATGTGGCTTGCTCTCTGACTTTATGGCTCATGGGACAATCCTTAAATGCTTTCTTTTTGTCTACTTTGGCGTGGAGAATATGAAATTAGACACGCAGCTGTTTTGGGACTTAAGCTAATACCACGCAAGCAAGGATGTTTTCACATTCACAGGACAGGGAGGGGAAAACCTGAGTAAAGCCTCGGATTAAAAAAATGGCTGCCATTTACTGTAGTTCAAGATCAGATGTCAGCATCGAGCAGGACAAATATGACAAAACTGTTGCAGTTCAGCAAGATGGCTGGGAGGCACATGGCCAGGCTCAGTATAGGTCGGCGCTTTGCGGAGATGAGAGGGAAGAAGGAAGCAAAGAGAACCGGCAGCAGAAAGAAATGAGCTGCAAGGAGAGGAGCGGAACCCCCAGTGGAAAGTTGGGGATAGATTGTGGTTATATCATGGGATCGAAGGATTTTGAGGGTGCATTTGCTCTTGTGCGCATATTGGTGAAGAGCCCTACATGGCGGTGGGCTTGGCTCAGTCAGCTTCGCCTCGAGCTGTCAAATGCTGCAATGGGACTCGTGGATGTGGTGAATTCCACTTCGACTTGTACCTTTGGTGGTGGGAAATGCTTTGCCACCAAGCAGTACAGTCCCGTCGTCTCACATGAAGTTATCATGACCAGGCTAGCCTGCTACTAAGGCCACAAAAGAAAGGTGACACATTAAATAACAGACAACTGAATATTGTGCAGTGAATATTCTTTTTTTTTTTTTTTTTTTCTTGCTATTGGGCTGCTGATGACGAAACCAGGAAAGACGCGTTTCTGCAACTGAATCTTTCATGTCTTTCCAGCTTTCTCAATCTGGATTCCAGCTTTGGTCATGGTCTCGTCACCTCCTTAAAATTTCCATCTTTTGTTTTGAAATTTGGAAAATAGTCATTAATAGACAAAGCTGGGGTTTGAGAAAGCATAATTAATGCAAGGCCGCCCAGTGTGTGCTCGCTTCCACATAGCCGCATAGAGTCGGTGCTGTTGGGAGGCCCTAATTAGCTTTGGCATCCCGACTGTTTTCCCCGCATGCAAGTACTATCATAGCACATGGGATGCATCCAGAGTAATTATCACCTCACACCATGCAGTTCAATATTTGATATGGCCTGAGAAGGGTTTGCATTCTTTCATTTGTCAATTAGCAGCTGCTTGTGTCTTAGAAATGGCTTGAAATGAGGCGCACGTGTGGGTTTGCAATCGGCCGGGCCAACTTTGGTTCTTAATTAAGTTGTGGGTCAAAACTGTCCATTACAAGAACAAACAGAGCAGGACGAGGACATATATTTGTCCAGAATACTTTTCCTTCCATTTTAATTTTCGTGGCCCCATTGTTTCCGTATTGGCAAGGGTTCCTCCCTCTTCTTTATAATGTCCTGGCTCTTCAGTCGGTCCCGCTGTGACGCCTCCTGAAATGGCATCGATCAAGCCGAAAGATTTTGCTTGCGCAACAAGCAGCATTTAGTGTCATTGTTTTCCCATCAAGCGTGTCTTGATATGTGGTGCTTACAGTGGTTTCTGTAAGATAGTCAAGGACGATTTGGAATGTCATCACAAAGACAAGATGATGGCTTGAGTGATGGGTGATTTCAAGAAACGTACACCCCATGCACCCTTAATGGAATCCATTCAATGTGTCATGTCCAGAACACAATGGTCTCCCTAGTCTTCACTGTTGATTTCCATTTCATACTTTCCATATATTTTCTACCCGCCTACATTGTCAATCACTGTCTGTTTCGATTATATTATATTCTGCCATTTCTCGCTCCACGGTAATCTTTACCCATACCGCTACTCTCAAAATATCACTGATAAACAAAAAGATATCTCTTCTCATAAGCTGTTGGCAACTAACCCGAAGTGAAACCAAATTTGAATACCGTGACAAATATTTTCAGAGCATAGCGAGCAGAGAGGTTTTCCTTCCATGACGAACCAGACTTGGGCTTTCAGAAGGCAGTAGGCTGTTGATAAGCTTTAATTAGAAAGTCGATTTGTGAGGTAGAAAATTGTCCAATCCTCCCCACACCTGCAACATATTAGAGCTGGCGGGGTGGACTCGGCTGCCCTCGTTCACAAATCGCGCAGTGGACTGTGCAAGCAAGCCTCAATAAACATAAATGGCAGAATCTTATTTTTGACTTTGTATTATTGCAATGTGGGCACTCTGTGTATTTCAATCATTCAGCCGAGGGTTGAATTTTAACACGTTTACCAATTCATGGCAAGAATACTCCAGAAAAAAAAAGCAAAATAAGTGCATCCTTAATTTTGGCTGGCTTTTCAACATTTTGCCTTCATAAGACACATGCCGGGTGGTGTGGTGGGCGAGTGGTCAGGACCTCCACTTCACGGTTCGGAGGTTGGGGGATTTGAATCCAGGCTCCGGCTTCCCTGAATGCGGTTCTCTCCATGTACAACAAATATAACCAAGTCTACAGAGAAAGTGCCCAAAATACAATAGAAATACTCCAATGTCACATTTTATGGTGCGGATTCAGCAAAAGTTGAGGTTATAAAAACATAAAAGGAAGCTAATGGAGAGAGCGAGGGAGACGGACAGCGATGAACAGACTACCGTTTCCTATTCACTGTTGCCAAAGTGAATTTATGTATATATGTGTGTGTGTGTGTGTGTGTGTGTGTGTGTGTGTGTGTGTGTGTGTATTACACACAACCCACTTTAACACACATTTAAAGAATGCTGTTATTTCCCCTCTCGAGGACATCCAAGTAGCTTGAAATAAGTGGAAACTGCAAACTCCTTCACCGCCTCAACTTTCCATCGGAAATGTGGAATGCGTTCGGTGTGAATAGTTGGTTGGTGTACCTCGTCTCTTGCCCAAAGGCTCCAGCGCACCCCGTGACTAGAATATGCAGAAGCCGCATATGAAGATGTTTGAAGGCTGCTTCGAAAACCTCGTGTAACTCCTCCATTGTGCGTTGTATCCGTACAGCATAAAGAACGTGACACCCAAAGTCGGCGCCGAGGAGACTCACGATGCCATCCGACGAGCCTTTGATGTTTGGCAAAACGTGACGCCGCTGCGCTTCGAAGCTGTGCCGTACAGTGAACTGGAACGAACCAAGAAAGACGTGGACATCACAATCATCTTTGCCTCAGGTTTCCACGGCGACAGCTCACCGTTTGACGGCGAGGGTGGCTTCCTAGCCCATGCCTACTTCCCAGGGCCAGGAATTGGAGGAGACACACACTTTGACTCGGATGAGCCGTGGACACTGGGCAACCCCAACCATGACGGTAAGTCTTGCTTTGGGCTTCTTATGGTTTGAGCCATCTGGAGGTATGCGCGTGTCAGTCAATCGGAGGAAAGCAGGGGCCTTCCAAATGTGCAGGCTCTTCCTGGGCGATCCAAGGGCTTTCGTAATCTTTGTTCACTGTCGATGAACAGGTATGATTGAGAAAGTTAGATCAGCTTAAAATCCCTCTCGAACAGCGAGATTTGAATTTCTCATTACATCCAAAGGGGCAAGTCTTCCCTGTGGTCCACAGAGACAACTCGAAGGCAGAATCGTCATTCTGGTTACGGAGTCATGAGTCAAAACAATGACACAGACGACGGAGCCGCAGAGCGCCCAAGTCTAATTCAATTAAAAAAATAAAATAAATTACAATGATAATCATATTAAGCAACAACGTGCCAGTGACTAGAAGGCATCAGAGGTAAGAGGAGGGGGAAGAGGTAGGAAGGATAACGGAGAATGGCACAGTTTCTCAAGACAAATATGATAGCTTCACGAGCTCACCAAAGAGAGATGCTGTGAGGGAGAGCCTGAGGAAGCCCCATAGCAAAAAGTAAAGACAATTTCCAGAGGAAATGGCTGAGAAGTGAGAACAGGAGATGAGTTGAGCGCAATGCGATTGAAGAAGCGGCGACGTTTCTGTTTAAAACAGGATTCTGGAAGCCGCGTAACCTTGCAGGCTCAGGTGTCGCTGGCTATATTTCAACAATCCATGCGTGCACTTTGATGGAATTAGCTCGCTCAGGTTGAGTATCGCAATGGCAGACAACGGCCCAAAAGTGATTCGACTGTTTGCTGTTTACTTTCCTGAAGGGCAGTAGGAGGGACCAGGAAATGGACAGAAGTGATCTTTTAGCTTTGTTTTTACACACACACAAACACGCGCACCACGCACACACGCACACACGCACACAGGCTAATGAGTTGCTGTCCAGTAAGCTGCCAGTCTGTCATAGCTAATCCCTCGCACCGTTGACGAGAAGGACCAGTTGGCGCTGTGGTTGTTGGCACCAGAGGACTGTGGATGTAACTGTTGTTATTGTTTTGGATGACGAGGCCACCAGTGAACACTAGAGAATTAATCCTTGGCCTGCTGAGAGATAAACGCATGCATGCATGCGACTTAAGTGCGCACACAGCTATTCCATCTTCGACGTTTACACGTGACGTTATGTCTGAACCTTTACCCGGCAACACAGACACGTGTGAACAGATTACTCAAACATAACATCCAGTGAGGAACCCTCTGTTACATGATGTAGTACGTAAATATTCGTATACTCCAAGCTGACACTACTTTGCATACATGTTTACCAGCACTCGATTATGCTTTTGCTCCAGACATCCGTTTTATCAACGGGCATATGGCTCTCTGATGTTAGTCCAGTGACTATGCTCAGCTTGATGGCGCAACGGCTGGACGAGGACTCCAACCTTCAAAAGACGATACACAATTCACAAAAGTTGTAGAGTTCATTCACACTCTTCAACCTCAATCTGTGAGTCTTTGGAAACTGTATTTTGGCAAAGGAACATAAACAAGAATATGGTACACGGTGTCCTGAGATTTCAATGATTGTGGACGCGCCAGCCTGGGCTGTTCGCATACGCTTCAGTTCGCCCTAAGTGAGTCTGTACTGAACCAAATGAGCATAATGATGACTTTCCTTTAGTGTGGTCAGCGATGCACTTTTTTCAACTTAGGCTTTTGTCAGAACTAAGCATTTTTTTGTAATGACCAGGTCCTAGGCTGGCAACACCTAGTTGTTCCTCCTACTCGCTTCTATCGCCAATATGTGCATATCTAAATACAAGCAATCTTTTCAAAATAAAAGTACTGTGTATTTAACGCTTGATTTCATAAAGACACTGGACCCGTTGGCGACTGTGGCTAGGCCAGATGTGGCCTGCAGGGCTGTACTTTGCGCAGGTCTGACTCGTTTTTGGATGCATTCCTTTTTTGTGTCTGCTTTTATTGCGGAGGCTGCTGTGGTTTCTTGGAGGGGGGGAAAAAATGAAAAACCAAAATGAAACAAGCAACAACACATAAGAGAAATGCCATTTTGACTTTCAGTCACACAGAAACGATTGCGTTGTTGCACCAATGGGCCAAAATCAACCACGAACACGGCTCATACAGTTTGATGCAAAGACAATCAGACTCACTCGAGAGTGACTCATAACTCCCACTGTGTGCTCAAAGACCTCCATAAATTTCAGTTTGAAAAAAAATATCCCATAGCGCCGCACCTTGAATGACTTAGGTGAACACACAGGAAATAAGACGTTTTTGCTCTTCTTCGGAGGTGACGGAGTGGAGTGACGGGTGGCCCGAACGCTGATGAATGACAAGTGACGGAATGGTCAAATTTACTGACCTCTGCTATACAGTGTTGGCGTCACATATAGGTTTTCTGTGTGTGTTTTATTTTATTGTATTTTATTTTTTTTTGTGTGTGTGAAAATGTCTCTGTGGGTTATACGGTCTTATCCAATTACAAATAAGATAAGATAAGATATCCTTTATTTGTCCCACACTGGGGAAATTTACAATTTGTATACAAAATATACAAAATACAAAATACAAAATGTCACAACCTGTAGCTTTGCATTCACAACACTTGGAAGGAAAATAATGTCACGAAAGGAAGCAGAAATGTTACCACGTGTTTCTGCCCACCAGGCTCTCACTCGAAATAGACAGCCACCTACTGACAACAGCATCAACTTCCACATGGGCGGTGGGGCTCACTTCCGCCCACGCACGTGTGAGAGTGTGCGCGCACGCACACACACACACACGCGCGCACACACACACACACACACACACACACACACACACACACACACACACACACATGCAGAGCGCACCTGAGGAGGCGCCCTTCTCTGACGAGTCAGTCATATGGACATCGTTATAGATAGATATGATTCATCCAATCAGATTGATTCTTCCAGATCTTCCCACATTTTTCCTCATTGCCATTATACTGTATATTCACATTCGCATCAATAATGAAGGCACAAGTACCGTACATTCGTCACTGAGATCTCGGTTGGGCGATTTGAGACCCTTGATTTTGGACAATCTCGTTGCAAAGCCCTCGTCCCTATGGATGAACTACTGAATGAGATATTATTTGATGATTCGTGAATTTATTGTTGATTTCAATTGCATTCCTTTTTGTGAAGCATTTCTAAGTTGTTTTCAATTTACGACTTGGGCAGAGTGATTCTTTTTCTGTTCACGACACCAGCAACCTAATTGCCGATGATGTGCAAAGCATCTGTGTGTCCATTCTCCTTCCCTGGCATCGGCAGAGTTTTCACAAACAATGTGATGCTTTGGGGTTTCCAAGGGCACCTCTGCAAACACCCTCGCTTGGAAATGTATTATTAATGATAAATGATCACAATAAAAATGTACACCAATACCCTGTCTTGCTCACAGGTGCTGCGCTGAGATAAACATGACAAGAATAAAGGATGTCCTTTCCTCGGCAGCATTAATTCCATGCTCTGTGCCGGTTTATTTACCTCGAGTCCGCGGGAGCCGCTGATATCCGAGTCCTTGGAAAGATTCCAAATTCTGAATTTCATTCAGTTGCAGTTTCTGTAAATAGATAATGACCCCCACGGCAGATTACGCGCGCTACGTTGCTATGTTGGAGTTCAGTTCTCAAAAGTTGGTGAATAGTTCATTCAATGACAATTTTATATAGATGCGCGTGCTTGCATGGTGCTGGTCTCGACTGGAGCAGCTTGTCAGCAGAGTTTGAAATGCAATGCCAGGCAGATGCCCACCATTCCCACACATTTGGGGTCAGGTCAATCAAGCAAACATTTGTGTAGTGGCTGGCTTCCCCAAATTTATAAATTGATACGTTTCTCTTGTCACCCAATGTGGGTTTTTTTTGTCTTCCACTAACTGTCACAATTCCATCTCTTTAAACTTGATTTTGTGCTTAAAAATGCTCTCACCAATTTTCCATTGTGAAATCCCATCCGTTTCCTATCGTGTAAAACCTGCCATTAAAATCCTGCACCCCCCCCCACCCACTGCGTTTACACCTGTTGCCAACAGCGCACGCAATCTGTTCAAATGAGTGAGCACACAATTTAGCGCCCGCCATTTGGGATCTTCGTAAATTAGGCTCACAGTTTTTGTTTCCGTCAAGAAGCTATTGTACAGCGTCACTGTCCTGCGGGGCACAACTTTTTAATGACACAAAACAACACGGGAATGCAATTACCCGCCTTTGGTGCTTATAGAGTTGTTTCCAAGACCAATTCTAAATCCAAATTGTCAGTCTCTTCGGGGAATTGTTGAAGCATAACACCGGGAAACAATTTAGCACCCACACCCCCTAACTTTGGGCTTTGTGTTCGATAAGCTGACATTTTTCCACATCGAAGACGTAATGCGATTCCCTCAAACACTTTTAGTGACATGAAAGGCGATCTTATATATTACCTATGAGAGCAAAAAGATCTCGCTATATGGTTTCAGATATGCGGCGTGACATCAAAAGTCATACATTGAGGAGACTGTCGGCGCTTAGTTACCACCGAGGATTACAGGCTGACCATCTTAATTGCTGACATGGTCAGGCTCCATCGCGGCGGCCCCACTATCTAATTTGGAGACCCTTGAGTGTTTATCTTGTCTGTGTTTATGTCAGGACCTTGTATTCCCACGTCAGCAGATGGGCTGGGGCATGTGTAGGGACCTCGTAAATTACGGCAAAAGAGCAAGCAGAGGACTCGGCTTTCGAATCACAACCTGTTGACTTTCCTGCAACCGCTGGGAGGGAAGACAGAACATTTTGCCCGCTCATCAGTCTATTCATTAACTCTCCATAGATGTTGCCTATTCTGCTTATTTTTTTGTTTGGTTTTACTTAAAACATATATCTAGATACTTTTAAGTGCAGCCATGGTATGGATGGCTTTGCATTATTCATAAAATGATCCGCTGGGAGCTGCTTCTGCTTCTACTATCAAATTTTTTGTTTGTTTAGACTTATCTATGACAGTAAAGCCCCAACATAAAAAAAAAAACCCAAAAAAAAACAGAGTAATTGATGCCACTCGTAAAAATGTTTACAAATGTCTACATAATAGAACAGTATCCTGTACTGAACCACAAAACTATGATCAATAGAACTTTAATATCATTTAAAACTCATCCTTCAAAATAAATAGCTGACAGAGCTTTTCAATCGCCACTCATCTTAGCATCGGTGAATTTGTGAAGCGCAAACCATGAATAGACGGGGTTCACTTCAGCCTCTTTTGGGTTTTTATATGTCGCTGAAAGTGTTTTTTTTCTTGTCGCCTTATTTCTTTTTCAGCTTTCACACAACCCTCTTTTTCTCCATCCGTCTCACACCTGTCTTGTATCTTTACCGTTGGCGAGGCTGGAACCAAGTCGCCTTGGCTTTGTTTATGGCTCAACGCAAAGCCAATGGGACATCGCTGTCTTGCACGGCGTGAATTAAAGGGGACACCACTCACCTCAAATGCCCCCGAGAGGCCAAAGAGTTGAGGGTTGAGAATGAGGGATTGGAAAAATCCCATCTACGGTTCATCTTGTAGTTATCCAAGTAGGACAAAACGGTGGTATCAGCAAACTATATAAGTTGCTTATGTTGTCTCCAGGATGGAAATGGTGGACTTGCTCTCCTCTCATCTGATTAAGTGTTACAATTGACTTTTGATTGCATAACAACACACTGGAAAAAAAAAGGTATTCTATAAGAAATCAAACATTTCCATGACCATAAGCTTATATTTGTTTCTCTTCAGGTTTGCAGGTAAAAATTTGGGATGAGGATTATTGTAACGGCATTTGTAGTGCGTCAGAGTGAGCATCTTGTGAAAGGGCCTTCAGAATTGTCTTTGGCTGCTGAGCAGTGTAGCATTTCCTGCAAAGCTAATTCTAAAACCATTGAGCCATTTTGCTTTCCTCTTTATCTCCTTTTCTCTCCCCGTCTCTCTTTATTTGCTTTAAACTTAATCCCTGGACACTTGTTCCGTGTTACAAGCTTGAATAAATTTTCCTCCGATCCCGCCGTAAAAATCTCAACTTTTAAAAGCCTTGACTTTGTTTGAAAGAATGCCAAGCCTTTTTAGTGAATCATTTTGGAGAATGCAGGCAGCGTTGGGCGTGACATTCATCTTACAAAGAGGCTGCTGACATTTCGATCACCACAATCAGTCTGTGACTCTCTAAATAGGATTTGTCAGTGATGGTCTGCTTTGTACAGTAAATTCTTAAACATGATACGCTTCTTTAGCTGCTAAGCGTGACCTTCGTTGCCGTCTGGATTTGCGGAGCAATAAGTCATGAGACCGACAACCTTTAAACCACTAGAAGTATATCTTGTGGAATTTTACTGTCAGGATAGTGACATATATGTAGAAAACCACTAGAAGTATATCTTGTGGAATTTTACTTTCAGGATAGTGACATATATATATATATATATAAATAATAAGATTGAAATAACCCAAAAAAAAAAAAGAGTTTGCTGTTAGACTGCTATACCGAATCAGTTGCTCTTAGATTTTTGAATCACACAATGTCTGATTTCTCCGTCTTGCTTTTCTCCATTCAATTTTTAGGGAACGATTTGTTCCTGGTGGCAGTCCACGAGCTCGGCCACGCACTTGGGCTGGAACACTCCAACGACCCCACAGCGATCATGGCTCCTTTCTATCAATACATGGACACTGAGAACTTCAAACTGCCCGTGGACGATCTGCTGGGCATCCAAAAGATTTATGGTGAGGCTGCTTCTTTGATAGCAGCACTTTTGTCCTCTCTTAAAGCTGGTGTAACCTTAGGGTGGCCGTATCAAATCGGAACATAAAATGTACAGGAACCTTGATGAAAAGCGCCAGCAGAGTCCTCATTTTTTATACGATCGTACATTTTCTCAATACTCTTTTGAAACCTCGCGCCCCCCCCCCATCAGATCTAAGTCGCTCTGTTGATTGACAGGTGATGTATTTGGGGAGAAACCCTTAAATGCCACATTTTTACAGTTTTTGTCATCTCGTCCTCAGTTTCTCATCCGAGTTGGTGGGAAGTAACAGTTGAGACTGTAAGCCAGTTACACTCCAACGCGATGACAGCGGGCTGTCACACGAATGGATGCACTCTCTCGCTCTCTCTCTCTCTCTTTCTTTCTTTTTTTTCTTTCTTGCTCTCGCTCTCTCTTACACACACACACACACACACACACACACACACACACACACACACACACACACACACGCACACACCCGTTACCTACCATCTGTTTACATGACTTGGGTATGTACCTTTGGGAGTGACAAACCTGGGCAAGGGATCAAATCTCTCCTCATGCCTCTTGTGTTTTACTCCTCTGCCTCCACCTCTCTCTTGTACTCAGAGTTGAAGGGCAGGACAAATGGCAGCAGCTCCTCTCACGAATAACCCTCCTCTGTTCTCCCAGAAATTCACCCCCCCCCAGCCCCCCAACACTCAGTCACACTCAGTGTTGAATCTAAATACGGTTGGTGGTGCGACCTTCAGAGTTTAGATCAATGGGAAGTTGAGACCGAGTCGGAAAATTGGTCAAACAAAAGTAATGAGGCATGGGGAGTCGGGAGAAGAATAATGGCTGGGTCTGGAAATCCGTGACTCAGACGGAAGGAAATTGGGGAGAAATTGCGCAAAATTGCATTTTGTGAAATTGCGTTGGGGTTACTGGAATCAGATTTGGCTGCGATTGGCTGGCGAACAGTCCAGGTTGTACTCTGCACTCACCCAGTCCGCTGTGTTAAGCTCCAGCAACTCAGCCGTGACTCTAATGAGGCTAAGTGATATAGAAATTGTCTAATGGAGGGATAGTTAAAAAAGATTTGGCTCAATTAGCCTGCCATGCATGTTTTTGGAATGTGGGAGGAATCCGGAATACCCAGAGAAAACCCATGCAGGCCCGAGGAGGCCATGCAAAGTGCACACAGGAAGGCCAGAGCTGGAATCAAACGCCGCACCTCTGCACTGTGAGGCGGACGTGCTAAACGGTCATCCACCGTGCCGGGATACGCCTGTCACCTAATCCAGTGGTAGCGTGGGCTCAATAATGATGAAGAACACATTTTAATATCATGTTGGAACGTGAGGACTTATGAAGCCGATGCCATTAGGCAGCGAACATATCGAGAAGCAGACTACAGTACATGTTCATAGCAAATGTAATTAAGACTTAAGCGCTTTTGTCACACACAGCGTTGAGATAACAAATTGTGGCCTCTGGCTTGGCACTCATTTCCATCTTCCACCTACCAAGTGAGCAGTACAAAAAAAAAATGTCACCGTTCCCCTCAACAGGCCAATGACTATATTTATGTTATAGCCAACAAAAATAGTTGCGTATAACACATTTTGGAGTCACGTCTGATTAAATTTGCAAAACGAGCCCTTCAGGCTCTTTCCACACGACTTGGGTTTCTGTTTATTTCTGTTTGACTGCCATGAGCGACGTGTATTCATGTGTTCGTCTCGCTAAACAGTTCTGTCTTATCTTGATCGCGAGAAAATACACCTCGAGACTTGCCTTTTGGCATATGTTGCTAAAACCAAGCTTGGACTGATAGCATTTTTTTGTTGTTGTTGTTCTTCGGGAAAACAAAACAAAACAAAACCGACTCAGCCTCCGTTGCCTCAGAGTATACTTAATCACATGAGTGAAAATTAGCTTTCTGGTGTATTCTTCCCTTGTGGTTTTGTTTGTGATACGAATACACGGCGGACCAAAAATCTCGTATTTAGCTTGATGCAGATTTTACCTTGTCGTGGCGCAATGATGTTGCCTGTTTATGGCTTGGAGCGTCCAGCTGACCGTGATCTCCTCCCCCTTGCTTACATAACTGCAGAGCGCTTTGCCGCCACTAATCTGGGATGGATTTCACAGGATTGAATTCAGTCAGTGAAAGGAATCCCTCTCATGTAAAAACTCGATCATCAGTTCTGTGGACTGGAAGATGTCTGCGCGCGCCTCTTAATCCTCTGATCGGCCTGCCATTCAATTACTTTGATATATAGATACATATAGATATCTGTATCGATCTATCTATCTATAGATAGATAGATAGATAGATATACACACACACACACAGACACACACATACACATATACACGTCCACAGGGAATGGACGTGTATATGTGTATGTGTGTGTCTGTGTGTGTGTGTGTATATCTATCTATCTATCTATCTATAGATAGATAGATAGATAGATATACACACACACACACAGACACACACATACACATATACACGTCCATTCCCTGTGGACTGTCTCCTTCCCTTAGACAGTTGCTCTTTCAGTTCCTGAATCTGCTTTTCGGTCGCTCATTCCAATTTGAATCATCCGATCTGTCTTCCATTCACTTGAAAGGTCGACGGTAACTTTATAGGCAATTACTCCTGGTTCAGTGGACAGAAGGGGATATTTCTAGTTCTGTTTGCTTCTGCCATATTAATAATATCGTCAACGGCCACTTCTTTTGAACCCGGGTCAACGTCATCTCCTCTTCTCCACATTCGCAGGGAATGTTATCTCTGCACCATCATGTGATCAATTATTTACGCTTGCAACCCACTCACGGGCCTCCTTTCTACCGCTCTCTTTGTACTCTGCGGATTTATGTTCTTCAGTCGACTCATGTTATTCATGAATATTAAGTGCAAGTGTGAGAGATAGTGAGAGGAATGTGCGTGCTGTTTCTGCTCCTGTTCCGTTCGGGTTTTCCCAGCGTCATTTTTTTACCGTTGGATATATGTTTAGGAGAAGCAGTCGTAGTGAACAGTTTTGTACACGTACTGCATCTCATCTTTTTGTTGACATTTACACCATTGCGGTCAAGTAAATCTCCTGACAATTTGACTTTCTTATTTTCTGTAGGGCCTCCTGACAAGCTCCCACAGCCCACCAAGCCTTTGCCAACGGTGCCGCCCGCTCGCTCCAACCCGCCGTCGGATCCGCGCAAACCGGACCGGCAGACCAGACCTCCGAGGCTGCCTCCCGGTGACAGACCGTCCCATCCCAATTCTAAGCCCAACATCTGCGACGGAAGTTTCAACACCTTGGCAATACTAAGGAGAGAGATGTTTGTGTTTAAGGTAAACAAGAGTGACTGTTGATTTGAACCTCAGGCCAGTTTTTATGCCCCCTCTTGCACTGCACAATACTGACCCGGTTGTACTTGAGTCAAAGACATGCTAACAGCAACAACTGAGGAGAACAAGGGTCTCCCGCACTCACTTACGATATTGTCATGTGGCCAATTACATTTCTGCACCTCATCCACATCGTGATGATTTTGCTCACCCGAAAAAAACCCAAATCCAAATTCGTATCATTTAAACCTCTAATGCCAACGTAAACAAGATATTTTTCAGATGACTTGGATCCAATTGACAAAGCACTTGACAAAATCGACACTTTTGACGAGATGCCCACCTTAGTCAAAAGGAGCACTCGCGTGCGCTAGAGCGGCGCGGTTTTACCCCAGCGCGAGAGAAAAACCACCCGTCCCCGAATGCGTCCTTCTCCCTTGGCCGAAGCTGGTGAGCGCAAGACCGCAGCGCCGAGCAGCAAAACCTTGGGGCAGCACACAAAGCGGCCCTGTGTTCTGCACACGGAGGATAAAGCGCGCCTCTCATGCTTTATGTGTGACTGTTTTTTGAGGGGTGGTTATAAATAGTATTAACGGGTTCAATAAGAGTCTTGTGGCGTTGAGGGGAGAAGAGAAGACGTTGTTTTCCATCTCCCTCCTCACCCCGCCGCATTTTTATGCCCCAAAGATCAATCTGTTTTTGAAGCTAGAGGATATTACAATGGCTGAATGCACACAGGCGGTCCGAAGTGATCATCATCATACACTGTATTATAAATTCCGAGGGCAGCTGCTTGCTTTGATTGGGTGATGAGAATCGCGGGGCTTCGGAAGCACTCCGATGATTTCGGGAAAGAAAAGCCGAGTAAATCTGATGGAACAAACAAACATTGGTTTCTGCAAATGGTACTTCTGCTCACTAGAAGATTCTTAATTCACGTGCTCATTAGATGTACAGTATTGGGATTTTACCAAAATGAGACAATCTCTATTTTCTTAATTGTTCCAAATGTACTCTGACTTCTTCAGCTTTGAGTGAATAATCCTCCACGAACAAACTGGCTGATGAAATGGTTTCCGGCTTTCTTGACTGAGCCTCCTTTTCCTGACGGGAGTATAGGATGTTTGGGTGGGGAAAAGCCCTTTTTTTTCTCTCTCTCTTATGAAGTCAAACGGATTGAGAAAGGTTCAGATTACAGAGTTAAATCTGTTTTCGCTTATTTTATATGAAAGAAAATGTGAAGCAGTTGCCATGTCGACTGTGGGGGGGTTTAAAGCGACTGAAGCGAAGCAACTGAGAAGGTTAGGGGAAAAAGGGGAGAAGTGTCCAGACCGGCGGAGTGCTGAATCCAAAGAAACAATTGGATTACATGCTGAGAAAAAAAGAGGAGCAGAGACACTTGGTTTAATCAGCTATTGACAGAGCCGTGATTGTGTGTGTGTGTGTGTGTGTGTGTGTGTGTGTGTGTGTGTGTGTGTGTGTGTGTGTATCCACCTCCAAATCTCTTTTTGTCCCCAATGTACGTATCATGTGTGCAGAAGATGTGATGGAGTGTTTTCTGCCAAAGGGTGGGACTTCTCGAGCGAGTCCAAATGGCTTTCACAGCGACGACTCTCCCCCCGGCTCTCGATTTGGCATCAAATTTCCAATCCCTCATCAAAAAGACACACCTTCCTTTCCTTGAGGACATTTGAGATGTTGAAATTCCAAACACACCCGACATGCACATGCGACATGTGACTCGACGCCCCCGCCCTGCCCCTCCCGCCATACGTTCGTCAACTCCTGCGCGCCTTGCAACAGATGTGCTCGCTCTCCAGGAAATCTCAGAACGCATGTGAAGGATCCAAAGTGGACTTGGATGTTGCAAGTGAAACAGTCGGGCCTAATAAAAAACCCTCATGGAACATCAGATCGGATTTTTTTAAAAATGTGGAAATGAAGTTGCATACCCCCCCAAAAATCAAGCAAAAGACCATAACTTTTTGCTTTAAAATCTTTGTCTTTTAGGACCACTGGTTTTGGCGAGTAAGAGATAACGCAGTGATGCCCGGATACCCCATGCTCATCAGTGTTTTCTGGAGGGGGCTGCCACCTAAAATTGATGCGGTCTATGAGAACAGTGAGGGCAAGTTTGTTTTCTTCAAAGGTAAGGCCAGTTTTTTTGTTTTGTTTTTTGACTAGCACCACTGTTTTCATCTCTAGCAAGTGTGTCTTGTTTACGTCAAGGGCCCATGTTGTCCAAACGGAGTTTTCATATGACTTTGGGGAGATTTTGGTCTTTGGAACTTCATGGCGGTCCATATGTCTCTCTTAAAAAAAAAACCATGTCTGTTTTTTTTTTTTTTTTGTATGCACCTTTGATCTTTGTTATCACTGAGGAAACTCCCTTAATATGATGGAACTGTAAATCTGAAAGGACTAAAGTAATGTTTTGCTCACTTGGTTGGAAAATCCAACGTAATCCTCAAGCTTTGACTTTTAATAATGTTGATACTGAACTTAGTGCGAGCGGTATTAATGTCTCGCGCTAAATCTTGAACTGTAGATCAAATGAATGTCGTCTTGGAAACCACGGCATCACAGTTATACATATATATTTGTTTTTGTTTCTTTTTTTTTTGCCTGCATCGATATGTAGGCATTGAAAGCACACTGGCAAAAAAAACTACAAATCTTCACTCAACCTCATTTCTATTTTCAAAACCCAACAATTCCTGGAAGCGCACACTTGTTAGGCAGTGTGCGCTAAAAGCCCGTGTGCCTTTTCTCCACCCTGCTATCTGCCCTAACTGGCTAACGCCAGGATGCTACATTTACTCTAATGCGTGGTCTTGATTCACTTGAAACACACGAGTGATTTCCCAGGAGTCCTTCTTCTGCTGAGGAAAAGCTCATCCAGAATGCCAAATGCAACACTGCGATTCCTCACGTTGACAAATATTGAAAATGAACTTGTGTTGTGAGGTCTCGAATGTGCACCATCGCACCTTAAATGCAACGATGCAGCCTTTATTCTATTCTTCCATTGCTTACGTCTGGCCTTGAACTGGAAAACCCTTTTGGGGGTGGGGGTAATGAATTTAATCTGAGGGTGTGGTGTGTTTTTTTTTTTTTATTTGTGTCAGGGTCAGAGGAAGTGTGACATGGATGGAGTGGGTCTTTGTCAGGGAAGGAGGTTAAATGGATTTCCTCTCCGCAAAGAGGCCACCGCTGCTCTCTCTGTGTCTCACAAATACCACTCATTCATTTACTCTTTTGGGGTTGTAATCATTGCAGCAAACATTTTATCGCGGATAGTCATCCAGTATACTACAAGTAAGATACAAAATACGTCATTTGTTATTTCCTCCCGCTACGGCGATCAATTTTGTATCCAATTTTCCCTGACGCACTCCACCCGCTCCCACTTCCTCCTGCTCAACCCACCACCTCCACGAGTGATGAAGAAAAGCACTTCCTGGGGTCGCGTTGCCAGAAGTGTGCAGTTTCATCTAATTACTCCCCAGGAAGGAGAGTTCACAACAGAGAGAAAGAGGGTCAAAAGGAAGGGAATAGAAAATTGAACGGAAAACACGAGTGCATTTGTCTGCACACCGTATATCCATGTCACGTGTGGAAGTCAGCGAGCATTTAACTGGCCCGTAGTTTTCTCAATGCCATACGTCTATGCAAGATGAATGGACAGATGCTGCTGTCGGATTATTTCTTTCTTTCTTTATTTTTCAAAATCGGACCATCATTTAGAATGTGCTACTGATTTTATTTTGGGGCATATAAACAAATAGTAAAAAAAAAAAAAATCAAACTAATGAACTGAGAGTTATTTCTTTCATGAATTTGCTTTACAAAAAAGTCTGTCATCGACATGCCGTCTATACTGTATGAGAACATAAGGCACATAATTGAGCTTTTCACAGCGGATTCTCGTTCATGCTGCCGTTATTCCAACTCTGAACACATCTGGGCTGTTGATTTCTTGATGTTTTTTTTTTTTTAAATCTCCTCGCACGTTTTAACAGTAATTCCCATAGTATCTCCAAGCAAGGGCAGGAAGAACTTGTCACCGTGTGCGCGTCCTATTTTAAATGAGGGAAACATCGAATACACAAGGGCAAAAGGTTTACTGCTTGGTATTTACACCAAAGCTTGTGCTCGCTGTCCTTGTAAATTTGCCCGCCTGCTGTATCGCACCTGGAGGGTAAACCCGCACATTTACTTGTTCCCTCAATATGTTTCTTCTTTTATTTTTTTCTTTTGCAGGGAAGCAATTCTGGGTGTTTAAGGATACGGTGTTGCAGGCCGGATACCCAAAGGACATCACCCAGTACGGCCACGGCATGCCGGCTCAGAGCATAGAGACGGCCGTGTGGTGGGAGGATGTGGCGAAGACCTACTTCTTCAAAGGCGACAGGTAACCAGTCCCCGTGAACGTCTTTGAAATATGTAGTTGTGTGTGTGTGTGTGTGTGTGTGTGTGTGTGTGTGTGTGTGTGTGTGTGTGTGTGTGTGTGTGTGCGCGCACGCACACGCACGCGGTTCAGTCACCAGACCAAAACAGTTTGTCAAATCGTCTGATGCGACATTGTGTTCCGTGTGGTTTGACTGCCTCTCAGTCAAAGGTTGTGCAGCTTGAATTTCAGTCTGGACATTTTCTGGGTAGCATGCTCGTGCAGCCGTTACGTTCCGTCTCCTTCCACATTTCAAAACCGTTCATGCTACTTTAATGAAGAGTGGTGGGTCTACTCATGAGATGAAAGGTTGTTTTTCGACGAGTGTGTGTGAATGATTCAAGCTTTGAGCAGAAGGTACCATCTGTTGTTGTCAGCTGTAAAATGTGACCGTCAACGCAACACACCTTCCCGCTTTGGTTAATTTCTTCATCTTTTGCCCTGTTTTCAGGTACTGGCGCTACAACGAGGAAATAAGGACCATGGACCCCGGCTATCCCAAACCCATCACCGTGTGGAGAGGTGTGCCTGAATCGCCACAGGGGGCCTTTGTCGATAAAGCCAACGGTAGGATTTGTCCTCGCCGGCACTCGAATTGTGAGAGCAGCCGTGACTGTTGCTGTGCCAGCTTGTATTGATTTCAGCTGGTCACCGCAGGCAGTAAATCGGGGCGGTATGAATTTGAGATTTGCCCCTGTTATTTTTACATCTCTCTACATGGTGTTGTTATGGGTGTCCTCGCATTTTACAAGAAGAATCTTTTTGCAGGGGCATGCAAAGCAAGCGTTGAGAATATTGCTCATGGCATATGAAAATAGGTCACCTACTCTAGATTTTTTTTTCCCCCCGAATTCATTTGTACGCCAATCTGGACCGCTTTGCTCAGTTGGAGCAGGAGGAACCAGACCACCACTGGGATCTTCCAGTTTTAGCCCGATGGCCCGAATCACGTACGGGGAGGTGATGCATAACTTTCAAAGTGTTCACCTGTCGAGGCGCTGGATTGTGAAAAGCTTTCCTCGTTGAGCTTATCCCGCCAGGTGGGCTCGGGCCCGGATTTGGCAAGCACCTTGGTCGGAAAAAGCGGGGCAGGTGGTGCCGAACGCTCGGGCCATCTGTCCTGCGGGTCGGCCGCCAGATCCGTAGCCCAATAGTTCCGCCGCCGAGGCCGGGAGGAGCGTGAGCCTGAAGGGTGGGCGGCGTGGCTGATTGAGACCCACACTCATCACGTGCACCGTAGGTTCGCTTTTGACGCAGAGACAGGTTGGTGTGCGGTCACGTGCATCTGAGATCGACCCAGATAAAGTGGCATCGTGTGCCGTGCTTCCGCGCGTGCGTGTCTGCACACATAAGAGTGTGAGAGGAGGTTTCATATCAGGGCGGCCTGGAGTCATACAATCCTGGCACGAACGCACAATCGCGATTACTGTCTCACCTCTCAACCCACGCCTTTTGAATATTCATGGTACATTTCTGTGTCCTTAAAGCGTTTGCGCCTCACGTGAGACGTGAGAAGTTTGTCTGGGAGTCGATCGCAAGGGCATGTTTGCTGCGCAGGTTGCAGATGCGGTAGTAAGTTGAAAGAGAAACGGTGTCACCTGTCCACCATTTTTAAGAAATCTCACGTCCAATCTCGCTCATTCTCTTGACATTTAGAGTATTTCAGTGCTCATTTTCCCCGAAAACAGCAGGCATGAATAATGAACAGCAAGCCAAGCTGTCACATGCCGGGGAAGAGCCCAGTTTTACATGACACATTTTCAGGGACGTCCTGGAGTCACCCTAAAAATACATAAGAATGAATTCTATCGGGCATCAAAACCTCCCCATCGCTCATTTGGACCAAATTTGATGTGGCATTAAAACAATTCGAGTCATATTCAAATGTGCGCTGTAATGCATATCCTCTATGTGCGCCGTCCACAGAGAAAAAAAATGTCCCTTTTATCTTCACTCAACATTTGCATCGCTGTCTTCACAAATAATCCCACAGAGGGGCAAGTGTTTCCAAGTGAATTCTTCCTCCAGGGGGTTGGAATCAAAGATGAACACTGACTCGTTGTGACTTTGTTTGCGTGACACCCAGGACAATTTGCCCACTCATTCTTGGAAGAAAAAAAAAAAAAAAAACTGCGTGTTTGAAAAACACCAGAGAAGCTTGTTCTGGGTGACATTTATTGTGCTTCGGTGTGATATTAGCTTTGGGGTTTGAGTGTCTTTTTTTTTTTTTTTTTTAATGAGCTTTTTTAATTAATCTCCCGAGAAAATCCTGCTTAACTACGCTGCTGACAAGTGCACTGTGACTCAGCTGCAAAATCACACACAGTTCACTTTTGCTGAAATTTAACTTTAATTATTTAAGTGCGTGTGCAAACACAGGGGCAGATAATCTTCATCTGGGTAATCTTTGCAAACAATCATCATTTTTAAATACTGAGAAAATAGTGCAGTCACATGGCTTAAAAACTCTTGACTGCTACGAATTTCACATCAGGAAATAAAGAGAGGGGGGCTTTCCGTCTCGACCGTCACTGACGGGCGCTCGTTTCTCTGGCGACTGAAAGAAACACGCACGGCGTGTCTCCTGCATGTTTGTTGGCCTCGGGTGAATACATTTCATGAGGTTCGAGGTTAGAATCTCTGTTCAGGCTTTGCTCTGGGAAGTGCACGTTTCGAGATTCTCTCATGACCAACCGGCGTTCAACTCAGTTCAACGGTGATTCAAGCGCCCTCCGCACTTTTGACACGTGTGGCTCTTCTCGCCGCCTCAGGTTTCACCTACTTCTACAAGGGGAAGGAGTACTGGAAGTTCAATAACCAGTTCCTCAGAGTGGAGCCGGGCTACCCGCGTTCCATCCTCAAAGACTTCATGGGCTGCGACTTGATGCCGGCGGACCCGGGGCGCCCGCCCTCCGGCGACGGCAACACGGACGTGGTCATCGAGCTGGACAACGAGGCCAACACGGTGAAAGCGGTCGCCATCGTCATCCCGTGCGTGCTGGCGCTCTGTCTGCTGGTGCTGGTCTATACGGTCGTGCAGTTCAAGAGGAAGGGTACGCCGCGCCACATACTTTACTGCAAACGCTCCATGCAGGAATGGGTTTGAAACATGAAAGGAAGAGACGGCACGCTATCACTTGAAGGACGACGTGGACGTTTGAAGCCACGTCCTCTTTTGTCGGGCGATCAGAACCACCAATGGCCTGACGATTGGCCCGTAAAACTCAAGGCATGACCTTCGGGACAAGATGATTGCTGAATCAGCCTTTATCACCAACAAGGGGAGCAGAGGGACACTTTGCGGGGAATGTTTCCCCTAAAATGACCTTCAAACAGTTAGGGAGAAAAAAAACAAAACGAAACAACAACAACAACTTGAGGTCCGTTTTCTTTTGTATCTCTTTTGCCGGACTGCTCTTAATCACAATCAGGGGGAGGACTTTCAGCGGGACACACTCTTCCCACAGGCAAGTCATTGTCATCTGTCATATCAGGTGTTAGGACCCCCCCCAAAAAAATAATCTGTCCCCCCACCCCCCAACCAAAAAGATAATCACATCTTTAAGGAGGTTGTCACTGTTCCCTTTAAAATATTCCCGAGGAAGAGACCAAACTAAACCAAATAAAATCTCTCCAAAGAGGATCACTTATCCTTTTTTTTTATTTTTATTTTATTTTTTTTGGGATATTCATTCATTTCATCATCAGTTGATCGGTCCTCTGGATCCATGCAGCGATTAAGAGTGGGAGCTCTGACTGTTGTGGCAGTCTGTTTGAGACACAGGGGCCAAAACATTTTGCAATATTTTAACTCGCCTTAATTATACTTAATATTTCTTGTGCTTGGTTTTACTCTGCTGTTGTGTTGTTTTTGTTTTTTTTTTCTATACTGCTCTTTGTTTTTTGTTTATTTTGTATGAGAAGCAGCTTTAAAAGCTTCTTGTAATTTGGTATTTCTGGATTTTATTACATGACCCAGAATGCTCAGCACTGGCTTGCTGAGCCCTTCTGGGCAATAAGAGTCGGCTTGTAATGTTATTATATGGAGGAGGTTCCAGGAGTAAAGCCACTATTTTGTGTTTTACATTTGTTGCTGTTAAGCAGTCACATGGCTTAAAAACTCTTGACTGCTACGAATTTCACATCAGGAAATAAAGAGAGGGGGGCTTTCCGTCTCGACCGTCACTGACGGGCGCTCGTTTCTCTGGCGACTGAAAGAAACACGCACGGCGTGTCTCCTGCATGTTTGTTGGCCTCGGGTGAATACATTTCATGAGGTTCGAGGTTAGAATCTCTGTTCAGGCTTTGCTCTGGGAAGTGCACGTTTCGAGATTCTCTCATGACCAACCGGCGTTCAACTCAGTTCAACGGTGATTCAAGCGCCCTCCGCACTTTTGACACGTGTGGCTCTTCTCGCCGCCTCAGGTTTCACCTACTTCTACAAGGGGAAGGAGTACTGGAAGTTCAATAACCAGTTCCTCAGAGTGGAGCCGGGCTACCCGCGTTCCATCCTCAAAGACTTCATGGGCTGCGACTTGATGCCGGCGGACCCGGGGCGCCCGCCCTCCGGCGACGGCAACACGGACGTGGGCATCGAGCTGGACAACGAGGCCAACACGGTGAAAGCGGTCGCCATCGTCATCCCGTGCGTGCTGGCGCTCTGTCTGCTGGTGCTGGTCTATACGGTCGTGCAGTTCAAGAGGAAGGGTACGCCGCGCCACATACTTTACTGCAAACGCTCCATGCAGGAATGGGTTTGAAACATGAAAGGAAGAGACGGCACGCTATCACTTGAAGGACGACGTGGACGTTTGAAGCCACGTCCTCTTTTGTCGGGCGATCAGAACCACCAATGGCCTGACGATTGGCCCGTAAAACTCAAGGCATGACCTTCGGGACAAGATGATTGCTGAATCAGCCTTTATCACCAACAAGGGGAGCAGAGGGACACTTTGCGGGGAATGTTTCCCCTAAAATGACCTTCAAACAGTTAGGGAGAAAAAAAACAAAACGAAACAACAACAACAACTTGAGGTCCGTTTTCTTTTGTATCTCTTTTGCCGGACTGCTCTTAATCACAATCAGGGGGAGGACTTTCAGCGGGACACACTCTTCCCACAGGCAAGTCATTGTCATCTGTCATATCAGGTGTTAGGACCCCCCCAAAAAAATAATCTGTGCCCCCCACCCCCCAACCAAAAGATAATCACACTTCTTTTTGTTTTAGTTGTCCAATTTCGTTTGGATTCTTTAAGGAGGTTGTCACTGTTCCCTTTAAAATATTCCCGAGGAAGAGACCAAACTAAACCAAATAAAATCTCTCCAAAGAGGATCACTTATCCTTTTTTTTTATTTTTATTTTATTTTTTTTGGGATATTCATTCATTTCATCATCAGTTGATCGGTCCTCTGGATCCATGCAGCGATTAAGAGTGGGAGCTCTGACTGTTGTGGCAGTCTGTTTGAGACACAGGGGCCAAAACATTTTGCAATATTTTAACTCGCCTTAATTATACTTAATATTTCTTGTGCTTGGTTTTACTCTGCTGTTGTGTTGTTTTTGTTTTTTTTTTCTATACTGCTCTTTGTTTTTTGTTTATTTTGTATGAGAAGCAGCTTTAAAAGCTTCTTGTAATTTGGTATTTCTGGATTTTATTACATGACCCAGAATGCTCAGCACTGGCTTGCTGAGCCCTTCTGGGCAATAAGAGTCGGCTTGTAATGTTATTATATGGAGGAGGTTCCAGGAGTAAAGCCACTATTTTGTGTTTTACATTTGTTGCTGTTAAAGTTTTATTTCCCTGTGGCAGATTTATCGTGTCTTGAACATCTTTGGATTTGTTGGTTATGTATTTCTTTTATTGCCTGATGTCTTAATGACCTTTTTTTTGACAGAGTGTACATCTAAATATCATTCTCTGTGGTTTTTGTGAATGGATTTTTTTTTTTTAAAGAAATCCTGTCTACTGCCTTTTTTTTTTTTTTTTGCGAACTCTCACACATCCCAGAATACTGTTTTCTTTCTGTCCGAGGACCCGAAAAGTCAAGCTCAGTGCCTGTGTTAGCATGCACGCAAGGTTTTACAACCGCACCTCTGCTCAACGTGGCTTTCTTTTCCTTAAAAGCTCGGGGGCCTTTTTTTTTAACCTTTGTTTATAATGCCGAACTCCCACCCTAAAGGTACACCCGCCGTCCGATAGGATCAAATAGGTACATCTGAGAAAATATTGGACAGTCTATCCAGTTGGTCTCATGGACAGATCAACTTTTTAATGTCCTCTCTGAATGTTGTTTTTCATCATAGCAGTCTTCTTTTCTTGTTGAAGAAAATGAATCATCTCACATTTGTTTTTCGTGTAAGACGTCAGGACAGTGAAGAAAAATGTCCTGACACAATGAATAAATTGATCAGTCCATGATGAAAAGCTGCCTTGAAACTGGTCATCTTTTTTTAATGGTATCAATAAAACGTATCACTATAAAGGGGGTCCTTGATTTTTAGGGTTACCGCTCGATGACTGAGACTAGTTTGCGCAGCTTCGTAATAGACGTAAGTCACCAACCAGCACAAGAATGTATGCTCTATTTTCCGTTGGAATATTAATATTTTGAATCGAGAAGTGTTGTGTAATCTGAAAAAGTACAATAATGCATACTAATATGAATGTATGTCTCGTTTTCTCATCGTCCATCTAGCCTTTTTGATTTGCCTTAACGCTGACTCCGGCTGGAGGGAATGCGGGGTGGGGGGACACACGCAGCATCCAAATGTATATTCTATTTGTAACATAGATATGCTGCAACATGTTTCCAGCTTCATTTCTGCTCCATTACAAACTAGCCTAACATTTAGTGCATTCTCATAAATTCCTGTAAATCCATTCACCTATCAGTGGTTTATCACACTTTGCAAATATATGCAGCAAGGGACTAGAATCTGGGATAAATATGACACACTAGTCGACCTTCCCCGTCAATACTTTCCCGTGTATCAACGCGTGTCGTTCTGTGTATCCTGTTGTGTTGCATTTCGACCGAGTTTGTGCATGTAAGGCGCAACGCAGGGCCAGCTGCTTGCGCTGACTCACACTGGCCAGGCATGTTATTCTATGGTGCTATTTTGGTCAGACCTCCTCCTTCTGCTCTTCCTCCTGCTGCCGCCATTGGCCTAGAAATTGAGTGATTACACCAGGAACCGAAGGAATACATTTTCATTTAACCCAAGTCCTTCCGACGCCCTGCTGAATGTCCCCTCTTAGGTTAAGCACCATTTATCCCAGGGTGGCTATTAGCGCCGCTCAGTGCAGCCCCTCGGAGAGTCTGGTTGAAGGTTAGCTGGGGTCAAGCTGTCGCCGTGGCCTGTCAGAAGAAGAAGAAGAAGAAAATGCACAATGCGGAGAGATGAATTATTGTTTAAGTGCGTTGCGTCAGTAGCTGGAAAACTCCGAGATCATCATTACTCATGTATGACGTCATCAGGTCACTTCCAACAAATGCTTGTCTTTTTCACATCGAGTGAGACTACTCTCACTGTCGACGTGTCTCAGCACACTTTAGTATTGGGATGTCACGTGCTAAAATCACATTCAGCGGAGTTGCTGATTATTAAACACATGAACGTGTACAGGTCACAAGAGACGTGTTTTGCTCATTGACTGTAACCGAGGCTTTTTTTTCTATGACCAGCCAATCACAGGAAGGGGAAAATGATGATGTCATGAAGCACAAATGCTCTGGCCCTGTGAAGATGAATTGAAAATGCGATTGGTTAAAGAAGCAGTCTCCCCGGCATCACCTTTAGATCAGCGGCAGACATTTCATTATTTGTTCGATTTGTCAACATGGCCGTGTTTTGGACGGGGTTTGGTGATATGTCCGGCTGTCCGCTATCCCTGCTGCACCACGTGCGCACGTTCGCACGGAAATTGACAAATTGAATTTGGCGCTTGCTTCTTCCTGCACAAGGGACAAAAGAATTTCTTGTCGGCTGCTTATTTTACATTCGGGGCTCATTTTTTACGGGTCAGACCTTGTAAACTTCAAGTAGGATATTTGCGACTTCCCCGTTTCTCTGAATGCAGCAGAAGTGCATAAATCTACTTTCTGCTCGACTCCTGACTCCCTCTTTTTATGTTGTTGACTCACACAGTTGCTTTGTTGGCCAATTTTTTCCCGCTGCGCACTGTTCTGTCCATTACGATTTCTTCTTCCACATCCGCATTCTAATGCTAAAAGATTGCCTGGTCGATTTAATGTCGATAGCATCGCATATTCGTGACACGTAACCAGATGTCACCTTTCACATCAATTCCTTCATTTCAGCTGGAGAGAGATCATTCTGTATCTTTTCTTCTTTTGTGTACAGAAATGAGATAGTTATTGTCACTTTCTGGCATGCGACGGATGAAATCCATCTTCCCATCTCCCCAAGTTACATCCATTGGTTCCCAGCCTACCTCCTCACCGCACATAATAGACCGTATTCGTGCAGCTGTAAAGCACCTTTGAAGAGACCCAAGAATGAAACGCTGCACTTTCCATG